TTTTCGACCATCCCGTTCGGCAGGAGCATCGCATGACGATCGCATATAAATAGAATGGGCGCTATGACCAATCGCTCATCTTCTAAGAATATCCGCGCAGAAAAGCCTGATCCGTGAGAAGGCGTTGGCTGTGGCAATAACCGGACCAGTACTCGAGGGTCAGCGGTGAAAAATCGCAGCCAAAACACTCACCTCGTCTTGAGATGAATAGAAGATGAACGAGAAGGTGTAGATTTGTATGTTTTGGTAGCAGGAAGGGACTTGGAACGCGTAGAGTCGTGAACCAGGTCGTATTACTGAGGTCGTAGTGAGAAGGAGAGGACCCCATGGCCCTCGAAATCAACGAATGATGCAAGCAGATAGCAAATAAACATGAATTTCGACTGCAGCTATGATCGACATTTGTTGCTTGGTGTGGGTGGTTCCAACTCGATTTGGATGGTTTTCGACGCGTTCGAACCGCGCTATCATTCTACGCTCACCCCTCGCCACAAACAGTATCATTTTTGTATCCTTTCACCGATTCTGCGCGTGCTCAAATAAAAGTATCCGTTTACTTCGATAGCTTGTGTGACGTCGTGCTCAACATTTCCACTGAGATAGCAGCGAAAACGCGACTTCTTCCACCATTCGAGATGCCTATAATGTTCTTATAATACCGTGATGGACAACAATCGTATACCGTTAGGAAATCTTCGATTGAAATGCCCTGAGGTTGGCCGTCGAACACCGTAAACACATTTGTAGACGCGCCACATTGCTCGTCCCAACCACAATGTCGCATTATCCCCCATTTTTCGCTCGTGATTTGGGAGACGCGGAGAAAGGTATGTAACGCTATCAGTTTGACGATAACGCGTGAATTGAGTCTCTTGTATAGGAGGAGATGAACCCTGGCGGTCGAAAGATCCAATCACCTACCGAGATGGGAAAAGCAACAAAAGAGAAGATATCGTTGAAGAGGATTATAGGAGACAACTCCTTATATCGCCCTACGCCAAATATGTCGCGCCAGACGCTTTGATTTGGGCCTTGTATCTAGAAGAAGCAGAGGCCGACGATAGAGAGCTAATGGATCCTTGGAGCAAGAACTTGGACTCGTTGTTAGTATTCGTGAGTCAAAGTGTTTTCGGACATGGCCACCGTTCTCATCGTGCACAGGCAGGGTTGTTCGCCGCGATCTTGACCGCCTTTCTCGTAGAGAGTCGCAAAGAACTCTTTGAAGATTCACAAACTCAACTTCTCAAAGAGATCCTCATCACCATGCGCAACAGTTCGGATACCTCGAACCCCGAGGCGTTCACGCCAGAAGCATCCTTTTTGAACATCAATGGTCTCTGGTTTACTAGCCTCACTCTCACCCTGGCCAGTGCACTCGGTGGTGTGCTATCCAAAGGCTGGATTGCCACGCATAGTAGCTCGTCCATGCGGAAAACCTCCAACGACGCATTCGCGCGACACCTCCGCTCCAACCGTATTCGCAAATGGAGAGTGGGCGCTATCATCTCTATTGTATCCCTCCTCATCCAAATCGCACTCTTTCTCTTCTTTGTGGGATTGGTGCTCATCTTATGGAGTACAGATGATAGGATCAAATTCACCATCTTGGCGTTGGTATCAATCACATCACTTCTTTACTTGGTGATCACGTTTTTGCCTTGGATATTCCCTGCGTGTCCACTTCAAACACCAATCACGGAGGGAACACCGTGGATTCGACGACCGGACGTTTATGGCCAACGAGGTCGTTCGATGAACACTCCTGCAGGAGCAGACCGTGGTCTCTGGGTAGAAGTCACATCGCTATACGAAGAGCTCCGATCGATCCCAAAGCCACAAGAATTGGAGGCACAAATCCTCGCCTGGGTCATTTCGAATACGCTTGACAAGCGGGTGTTGACGGAAGCATTAAAGGCACTCGCAGGGGTAGAATGGACTCAAGAGCTACGGAGAACTTTGGCCGAGTTTGGAGCGTTTTCTGTCTTGAGGACCAGACTTCCTCAGTATCTGAACCAAGCTCGGGTGTCGGGGGATAGTGATGAAGAATGGACGTGCATCCTGTTATACCTCATGCTGCAAATTGAAATGGGGGTCCAAGGGGATAAAGCCGGAGAAAGGTCCCCTTTTGAGTCGTTGCTCAGGGAGGGGGGTGCGCTTCATAGGTGGCAGGATTTTAGACCGGATGAGCAGCCGTTGGCGTGTAGCCTTCGCTTGCACATCCTTATGAATTGCGACATGGACGAACCAGATACCACGTGGCAAGGGCAGATTCTCGGGCTTGTCAAAGCGGCGAATGAACAACCAAACTCTTCGATGCGCAACATCCTGTTCCATGCAGCAACTCGAGGAGTATCCAGTACGAAGGAGAATTTGCGAAGGATGTGCGGGGTAACTACGTCGGACTTGTTGCTGTCGAGTGAGTAAATGGCCAGGTGTAGTTTACGTGTGGCTGATGGTAGAAAGATGACATTGAGACATTATCCAATCAGTTGGAGAGATCGAATAGGGGCACGCTTGGCGACAGCTGGAAGGGAAACTATCAAAGTATACCTCAGGTTCTCTGTAGACTGTGTCTGGATGAAGATTCGGGGATCAGAGAAGGTGCAATAGAAGCCCTTGTGCGAATGTCTGCAGACGGTAATGAAAGATACCTATCCTTGATGATGAGACTAACGTCCAAACAGATCAATTATGTGCAGAGTTCGAACGTGCATTTGAAGAGCTCGTGTCTATGAGGAATAAAGATCAGATTCCGGCAACTCTGGCGGTGACCGCCGCGTTGGTCCAAAATGGTAGGATGTGCACCTGTGAGAAGAAGGTAGTATACTGACAATACCAAGACAAACTTAGAAGGTTCATGAAGCGAGGGATGGCGGTCATTACACAAGGGGTTCAAAATGCTCATCACGAGTGCTGGGAGGGATCCGTAAATGCGAGCATGATGTTGGCGCGCCGTGGTACGTCGAGGGATTCGCATCTACTCAATCTGACGAATATAAAGTCGAAATGCAATCCGAAATCATAGAGATGATACCGGGTCTTATTCGTCTAATGACCCACAATGATAGCACTCGCTACAGAGTAGAGTGTATGGCGAGAAGCTTTTCTGTCCAGGGTGAGGAATATCTCAATTGATAGGAGGAATCTAATGGACAGTATAGATGCGTTCGAACCACAAATCAGGGCCTTGATCCAAGATATCACAACTCTACTTGGCCACGACTCTAATGAGGTTATGAGGGGTGTAGTACGGATCGTTGAAGCCTTTTCAGCGGATGGTGAGGGTTATGGAGAGTAGATGAGGGAGGTCAACTAACGACAAAGACAGCTAGATTCCACGTAGAATTCAAGGCTGCGGTACAAAAGATCATAGATCTACACTCCCACAATTCTGAATTTGCTCGAGGGATTGCGATGAACACTATAAAGGACCTTTCGGCCCTAGGTTTGTGATATAGAGGAGAAAGTATCTGAAACTAAAAGTCCCGACAGCGGCGTTAGAGCTAGAAATCAGGGCCGCTATACCTCAAGTTATTGAGCTACTTTCTGACAGCTCCGACTCCGTTCGGGGAGCTGCAGTAAGCGCTCTAATTACCTTGACGGCACAAGGTGAATGAGTCAAATATGAAAAATTAGCCAGCT